AGCCATCTTCGTCCTCATGTCGCGCAACCCTTATCCCTGGTAACACAAAATCCGTTGCTCAGAACCAAATTCCGGCATAGCCATCTGATCCAGAGTGCCTGAAAACCTCAGATTTACCTCTTTGTCTGCTCAATTCCGTCAAGAATTGAACGAGATACGATCTTTATGTCTTCCTTGTCCACTCTTTCTTCTCTCTTCCCAATTCCTCCGCGCACTCGTTCCTCCTTCTACCTCACTACCTCTCATCTAATTTAAAAATCTAGCTTTGTACTTGGATTCGTCCTGCCTCTAGGCCAGTATCCCACTCCTCTCTTCTTCGTCATGATCCTCTCCCTCATCGTCTCCTCCCCCTCTTCTCCCTCGTAGCCCGCTGCTCGACGAGCCTCTCCCGCCAGTCAAGGTATCCCTGGATAATAGCGCACAGTCCACCCGCCTTGAATACCTGAATGGACATGAAGTCCTGGTCACTGGACCGTGCTGTCTTATATAGCCTAGAAAGGTATGTCCACCTAGCTTACTCGTGCCTCACTCAAAGGACACATCACTACCATTTGCCCTTGTTTGAACGAATCTGCCCAAACCTAGGCARTAGGTCCATCCATCYGAGAAAAGACTGCCCTGCAGTCCCTAAAAGRAGAATGGGGGCTGATAAATAAAAATAATAATAATAGTAAATTAAAATTGGTCTTGGTGAGACACCTAATCGATGGGGTCGTGGYAACACAYACGTAGACCCCTTCTCCGGAGCGAACTCTTGATCTACATTTTAACAGTCCGTGAGTGTGCCACCCAAGCTAAGCTTGCTGGTACCTGCTAGCCTTGCTGCAGCCCCCACCAGAATCCCTCCGGTCTGCTGTGCCCAGGCGTAGCTTCCCTACTACCGCCCCCCGACGGGCATGCTCATATCCATTCCTCACAACGGATCGTGGGGCAACAGACGTAGGCCCCCCCCTGGCTGTACCCTGCTCATTGTGCCCAGGCATAGTCCACCATTTTTCTGGTCCCCATGGTAATGCCAGTGCTTACCCTGGGACCCCAAATCTGCAAAATATGCAGATTTGGGACAGGTAAAAAAAAAGTTTTTTTTTTTTTTTTCTCCCTTTTTTTTTTYTTTTTGGGCATAGCTCAGGTCACACCTGGCTGTCCCTGGTATTGTGGGGCCTTGACAAAATTTGTGTAACTGCTCCCGCACCTTGCCACACCCAATGGTCATACTCACTCTCAAACCTCTCACCACATATCTTCAGCTGGTGGATAGATACCCCTGCTGAGATTTCCCAACCGTCAGGTTCTCTACCGTTTCATGCATGTCTTCCTTGCGCAGGGGCCATGCTAATCTTCTCTGTATCGTTCCAATTTTAACGGATGTCCCGAAGGACTAGCTGGGAGCCGCGTCCTTGGGACATCGTCATCGACCGACCAGCCTCAGGTAACTCAGAATAACTTTGGTCTTACTTGCCAGGTCCCATTGTCTGAGCTCGAACACAGGCTGTACTTCAACAGTTCAATGGTGTATCCACTCGACAAGGATCTCGGGTCACAACCGGTCCTGAAGACCAGTACCGGGCCTCGTCACAAATAAGAAAATAAAAGATAAAAAATAATAATAATAAAAACTTGTAGATAAATAATACAGTAATAATAAAAAAACGGATGGGGGAGGGGACCCGCTGGTACCTGGTCCTTTCCCACGGGCCTGCTGCCGAACTCCCCAACAAAACCAAGGGGGACAGTCCCGCAGGACCCTCAACCCCTTGATTTGCTTCTGCGCTCCTCCGCCGCTCCGCTCTGGCCTTGATCCCGGGACCCGCTTAGTAATAGTTCAATGACGTAACCAATAGGGCTAAGCCCCAGCCTGGCTGCAGCAGGCGCAGTCCTACTCATAAAGAGTAAGGGCAGCCTGCCCAGGCCTGCAAACAATACCTCAGGCTGCCCCTCTAACTTACCGCTAGCGTCCAAGGGCCCGCAGGGCACCCACGTGCTACTTTGGGGGCACGACCTTGCTAGGCTTGCCGTGCACGTTGCCGCATCACGCGGCGGCTATGGCCGGGCTCTCCTACTCCCTCATTTTCATCGGGGAATTGCCCGTTCTACCACCTTTGGGCCGAAAAAACGCCCCGACTTTTACTCACTCCGTCCTGACCTACGCCGTCCTAGCTAAAGCTCGCCATGGCCTTTACTGTAGGCGGCGCATGATCAACCTAGTACCTGCGCAATTTCACACGGCGTGACCCTGAGACGTCGGCCTCTAGTGAGTCAGACAACAACCCCCTCCAGTCATAGCCTTACCTGCTCAACGCGACACTCCCCGTAACTTTGCCCGTGTGTGCGAGGTTACGACTGCGTCAGAAACTCTAGTCAAACACTCACTTGTTCTACTGGCGTCTCATAGTCTTTCCTGCTCTACGTTTGGTAAGCTAACGTGTGTCCACGAAGTGCGCGCCCAGACACTCTATAATTAACATAAGTGGGACGCGCCCCCAGATATTGTCAAGCGCTTTCTTCCTGTAAGCTGCAAAAACGTGCCCAAATACCCTTGTAAGGGTATTCGGGCTGACAGTTTTTCGGACCTTATTAAGCGACGTCCCCGTCGCGTCGCACAATCAAGGCTATAAGCACAAACACATCTGCTGACAAGGAAATGACTAACCCGATTCACCGGCTCGACTCCGTTCGAGGTTGTCTTATCAATCTGCTCCCGTTACGACGTTCCACTCCCAGGGTTTTAACCTGGGTCTCCCACGTCCTGGCCTCAGAGCTAGGGGATACTTCGTTCTGTACTACAGCGTACTACCCGCTCCCAGATAATAGGTTGATAGCCCTCTCCCTTCGTCGTAGACATCTGCCGGTTCACCGTTGGGTGTCGTGTTCAGTCATCGTCCCGCAAACGGGGTCATAACTTAGAACGCGGACCCTGACCGAGACCTCTCAAAGTACGGGGCGCCTTTAACCGCCCACATGGTAGTGTCTACCATCTCCACTCACAACGACCGCCCAGCCTGGAGTCTAACACAGGTGGCTTCAGGTCTCCATCTTGGTCCACCATGGACCGGTCGATCACGCCGAGTCCACGGCCCACCGCGTTGTTATGTAGTGATGGTGCCCTCATTGGTTACGCAACGATAAGCAGCTTCCCTATCTTGGCACCCCAAAGGGTCCTGACTCTTGACCTAATCGACCCCATTGCCCTCCTTCCAGCTAAAGTTCTCCGGGTGGTCGAGCCTTCAAGACTTAACCTTTGGTAAGCCATGGTCCCGCTGCTAGGATGTGTCGGTCAGCGGCCCTCGCTGGGAGTTAGGTTCTACAGTTCCAGCGATGCTAAGTATAGCTCTTTAGCTTGGCCTCACAATACGTCCCTTAGACCGACTCCATTGTGGTCTGGCACTTTCTTTTATAACAATAATCAAAGGATCACATACCACCGCCCACGGGACTACGTCGAGGGATAGCGCCTTTCTCAATAGTCCACCAAAGATCTCAGTAGTTCCACAGGGTCATGCCTCCTTTGCTCTGATAAAAAGCAGGTAAGGTCACACGTCTTTTAGGGATACTCACAAAACTTTCCAAAGTTCCAACATAACTGCCAGAGGTTTCTATCCATGATTCTCACAAAATACCTAGTCTTTCCGCGTCAGACCTTTCCATACATACATCCAAACATTATCACCACTTATAACAATTTTTTTGAGTGCTCTCCCAAAATTTCATTCTTTTAGGAAAGCCCAATCGGCCATTGGACTTCCCTCTCTCTTTTCCAATCATACAAGAAAACACACAACTTTTAGTTTATTGTCTCCATAATCTGAGAACACTTCCTTCCATTATACTCCCGGCTCCACTTGTCATGGGGGCAGGGAGGCGTAAGTACAGTGGATGAAACGCAGATCAGTTCATTCCACAGTATTCATCTCATCACACCATCATCCATATGGGCAATTCCATAAACTGAGAGTGAGAGTGATACAACACACATAACATAGAGACGAGGTTTGATATTCGCGTGTACACCCAAGACATGGGGGCCCGCACTGTGCAAAGGTTCCCTTCCTTATTATAGAACTTAAAATATTATACAAGGAGTTCAGGTATCCCATAAGGAATGAAGGTAGTCAAGCGTCGAAGTATCGGGACTCGACGGCCGCTCCACACTCGTGAGCGTTATTCTATAAGGGTATTAACACTCTACATCATATGAGAAAATAACAATAGTCAGACTCAATGTTACCTTATGTACGGACAAAGGTTCTCAAGTCTATAATGCGATGCAACATCTCACTACTAGCTCAGCCTAATGATGTACATGGGTCTGATCCAATCCTCCATGTATCCCTCTATATACAAGTAGCCATCAGTCTGAGAGTTAGATAAATCCCGCATATGTTAGACTTTAGACCTTTCCGGACCTTATTAGAAATTCCTATTCCTGATCACTCATGACCTCCAACAGCTGCCTATATAACTGCGCCCTTACCCCATCAAGAGTCTTAGGGACTAGGTTTCCATTTCTATCTCTCCACACCCCAGATGATTCCCTGGTACACAATCCATTTGACTCGTCCTTGAGGCTCTTGGGGTAGTCGTCAGACCGATGTTTGCCCCTCTTGCAATAAAAGCACTTGCCAAGTTTCTTCTGGGACATCTTGTCTCCTTTCAGCGAGGGTATAGATGACGGGGTTGTTGAGATCTTGCTCGTAACCTCATGCTGTGGGACCCCTGAGGAAGCGGGGCAGACTGCTCTGTCATCTGCTGGCATCCCCAGCTCCCCAACACGCCCCTCTGACCCTGACCCAGTGGCCCAAGATCCCAGTACATCCCGCAAATCTGTAACAATTGGCACCTCCTGAAACATGGTTGACTCCTGACAGTCCCTCAGGTCCACTCTCTGCTCAGTCCCAACCATGGTCTGACCCACACTTTCCTGACCCTCCTGCTATCCCGCAGTCTCTTTCCGAATAGTAGGTGGAACCTCCCCAACTCTCATTGCCTCAACTGGTGGTCCCTCCTGTGGTACTGCCGGCTCATGTCCCAGTGTCAGGCCAGCAGGTAACCTCCACTAAAACTCTCCGACCTCTGCACCCTTTTCCACAAGCACTTCTGGCTGCTCCAACATCTCTTTGTCGATCAGAGGGATCTCCTCACCCTCCTGTTGGTCCGCCATCTCTACTTCCTTCTCCCTCTTGAAGACTTCCTCTGCAGGCTGTTCCCTGATTTCAAACTTTTGGACCTCTGTCCAATCCACCACTCTAGTGGGGGCTTGCTGGGCATGCTTGGCTTCGAGATCTCGAATCTTTTTCTCCCACTCAGTCTCCTTAACCTAGAAGAAGGTCAGTTGTGTACACAAATAGGCCCTCAGCGCGTTAGTGACCTTGTTAAGGGTCTGGTTGACTTGTCTGACGGCCTCATTCTCTGCTGAGACTCTCTCCATGTCTGCCTTTACTGCTGCCAACTCTTTGCCCTGTCTTCCCAGCTCCTTCTTCAGGCCCTCAGCCTCTCTCTCCCAGTCCACCCTCTGGCCATAAGCTTTTTGTGCAACCTTTGTCAGCCTGTCCCCAATCTTCTGATCTGAGGTCCTTGCTGCAGCGAAACCTTCTCTCATTACGCTCCTTAGGTTGAGCAGGTCTGTAGAGACTAACTTAACCCTCATCTCCTGATGTTGTCCACCTGATCTTCCTGTGGCGTCCATCAGCTTATCGAAGCCCATCCACACCTCTGAGAACAGAGGAGGGTCCTCCTCCTGAGCGCACGTACCCTTTCCTTTTCTGTCCTCCACCTCCTCAAGCGCCTTTCCTTGCTGCATCCTCTCATGCAGTTCTGCCAGGTTCTTCTTTCGGAGTTGAGTCCTGATCTCCAGCTCCCTTGCTGCCCTCTCTTTTCTGTCCAGCTCCTTTTCATCAACAGACGGTTTCTCCCTCAGCTCTTGCGTATACGGCTCGTGAGGGATGTCTAGCTCTGCGTCAGGCATGGGGCCATCCATCTCCCTCTGAGCCGGTTGTGGAGGTGCATCTGAACCATCGGACCCCTCTGCTCTCTCATGTCGGTGGGACTTGTGTTCCTTCCTCCTTTCCTCCCTCTGAGCCCCTAGTGACGCGCCTTGCTCAATGGTTCCCCTTTTTTCCACACCTCTCCTCTCACTTGCCTGACGAGCTGGAGTATAATAGTTCCATAGCAGTTTCTTGCAGTGCCCCCAGTTCATGGCAGATGCCACCATGGATCGTACGAAGGGTCTGATATGGTGTCTTACAAACAACAGGAAGCTCCCCACTCTCTGCTCTCCTGGGATACAGAGCTCATCCACATATCGATCATAAGCCCATAAGAACTCCCCCAGATTAGAGGAGTCGAATCGAATGGGCTGTCCATCCCTTCCCAGTGGTGACGGGTGCAAACCCTCCATCCTCCGTCCAAAGTCCTGCCATCTCAGCGACTCTCTGACCAGTTTAGCAATAGGGTCCGCCCACTCGCCTGTGCCTCGCACCTCTCTCAACATCCTGGTGCTTGTCCCATCCAAACTCTCTCGCATGCCGCTCGAACTTCATCAGGAACAACTCAATGTTCCCTCCCTGGAAGACTGGAGGCCTGTCCTCTCTCCTGGTCCTTATCTGCGTCCTCTGTCGGGTTGCCCCCAAAGGGGTTTCCACTGGCCCTGCCCCTCCCCTCCCTCTTGGCATGGATGCCCCAAGCGGTATCAAGCCTGCACAACAGGGAAGAGGCGAACAAAAGCACACAGAGGGTAAGCGATGTCAGACAAAACACAACAGGAGATAGACATAACCCTCCCACACCTATCACAACTACCTACACACACACACGCATACATAGTCATACACACATGCAAGTCTAACCACAACCTATCACGCTATTCTACTGATGGCAGCACCCGAAGTAGCCACTAGATGACTCTAAGTGGTGGGATCCCTGCTCACCTTGTCTCGAGCCACGAACTTCTTTAGCCTCGAGCTTGACACGCAGTCCTTCCATGTCGTCCCATTCAGCTCTTTGATTTGGTAGGCACCATGTTCACCACATCTGGTGACCCTGTAAGGCCCCAACCACCTCTTATCCAACTTCCGCAACCACTGCTTTTCCAGGGACGAGTCGTACAACAGCACAACGTCTCCCACCTTGAGAGGCTCCTTTCTTACCCTCGCCACCTTGTCCCACCGGAACTTGTCCTTGGTACGGCTGTCCGAGGTTCTACTTGCTGCCTCCTCAATCCTGTCCTCAATAGCGCCGATCTGTCGTGCCCTCAAATCCAGCAGTTCCTCAGAGGTCAGATCAGTCTCGAGGTCCTGTCACCTCCAAGTTTTCAGGAAGCTTTCAATGGGAAATGTCGCATGTCTGCCGTACCATAGCGTAGCCGGTGCATAGCCAGTGATCCTCCTGATAGTGATGTTATCCACGAAAAACGTGACCCTTAGAAAGTTTGACCATTGGTTGGGTCTGCCATTGGTCCACTTGGCAAGAAGATTTGTGATGGTGCTATGCCCCCTCTCCACAGGTGCGTTGGCTTGAGGGTGCGCTGCAGTAGTGTACTCAGCGATTACCCCATACTTCTTCAAAAGAGCCTTCACTTCTGCACATGTGAACTCGGACCCTCCATCCATCACGAATCTGGACATAAAGGGGTAGCGAAGATAGGACTCTTCGATGCATCGGGCCAATGTCTCTCCAGTCTTCGTGCGAATGGCCCTGCCATCCACAAACCCCGAGAGGTTGTCCCGTGCATCAAAGATGAAATTGTAGCTCCCTATCCCCAATGGCATTGCCAATAGATCCAAGTGCACGACTGCTCCAACCTCAAGAACGTACCTTGGGTGCAGCGGCTCCCTGGGTCTGAGAGCAGACCGTTCCTGGCATGGCACGCAAGACTTACAATAGTCATCAATTATCTGCCTCATGCCATCCCAATAGTACAACTCGTGGATCTTTAGGTATGTCGTATCCGCACCTCTGTAACCACCTGCCATACCGTCGTGCAGTGCCGCCATAATGTCGATCTGGCGAACGACGCCACAGACTACTCTCCTTGGGTCCCTTCCTTTGCTCCTCATGAACAGATGGCCATCCCTCACCAGGAAACTAGGCCTCGTCTTCAGAACTCGCGCGCAGGCATCCCTTTCCCTCATCTCGCACGAAAGAAGCATGCCGAGTTCAAGGTATACCCCCTCATACTCCTCTGCTCGAAACGCTTCCTGGATCTCCCCGTCTTCGAAGTCATCATCTTCTCTCTCGTGGATCACGTTGTCACCTCCTCCCATCTCTATCTCCTCTTCCTGGTCTAGTACCGTATTTCTAACCGTCTCTTCCTGAAGCAACGCATTTGCCAGCAGGTACACCCCACCTATCATCTTCTCGTGCTTACCCACCTGTAGCGCCCCATTTTCAATTGTAAGCGGGTCTTCTTGCAGCTCGTACTTGCCTGCTAAGGCCAACTCCATCATCCAACCTACGCTCGACATTCCCCAAGAATCTTCTTCAATATAGGGTTTGAGGACCAAGTCTGACTGTCGTACATGTCCCGGAGGCGCAAGCCATATAGGTCGCCCAGGAGTAACGCACTTACCCACGGCCAATGCCCAGGAGTTGATGTGAAGTCTCACATCCTCCTCGCTGTCCAAAAATCCGTCGACTGGTGGAGTATCCTCGATCACTCCCTGATGGTTTTTGTCCCAGTCGACTCGACCCAGCCCGTCCGCCCTGTTCTTCTTCCCTGGAATTCGCTCCAGCTCGAAATCCAACATCCAGATGTAGGTCATCCACCTAGCGATAGTTGGATCTGGAGAAGCGAAGTTTTTGAGGGAACCAGTCAATGCCGTAGCGTCCACCCTTAGTACGAACCTGCTGCCGAAGAGGTAGTTTCTGAAGATCCTCTAACAGTAAAGAGCTGCCAAGGTTTCGCGCTTGAACTGAGACTAGTTTCTCTCAGACGTATTAAGCGTCCGACTCTCGAATCTTAATGGCCGCTCTTCTCCGTTGGGGTCTCGCTGGATCAACACTCCTACTAACGCAGTCGGCCCTGCATCTGTCTCCACAATAAACGGCCTGGTCATCACCACCGCATGGTCCGGTACCCCCAGTACTAGACCTCCTTCCTCGAACTCTTTCTTCTCGCCTTCTATCACCGATTCTTGCTGGTCTCCCCACTCCCAATCTTGTCCTTGACGCACAAGTTTCCTCAACTGTTCAGTTTTTGCCGCAAATCCCTTAATAAAGATCCTCCAAAACCCACACGTGCCCATAAAACTTCTCACCTCCGTGATAGTCTGGAATGGTGTTGGCCAGTCGAGAATGTTGTTAGTCTTCTTAGTATCTGGCCGACGACCCCTCTCGTCGCACATAAATCCTAAGATAGTGGCACCACTCATGCAGTGCCTCGATTTTGGCCCACTGGCAGTGAGGTTATGCTCCTTCAAGAGATCTAGGACCTTGCATAAGTCTTGCACATGATCCCACACAAAGCGCCTGATCCCTGACACCACCTCCTGCTCGTCCTTCTCTTTGGGCCCTTTCACGGCCAGATCATCAATGTAGGGCTGCGTGATGTGAGGACTCACCATGTGCCACTACATCGCCCTCACCATGTGCCGCTGGACCATGGCGACCGCATTCATCCACTCCTGCAGCGCAACGTTCATGTGGATCAACCCTCGAGGGGTGTGCATAGCTGTCATAGGTCTGTCCGACGGGTACACAGGAAACTGGTCATAGCCTGAATACAAGTCAATGAGTGATATGATGGCCCTCCCAGCGCATGTCTCTGAAAGCGCATCAGCGTTGGGGAGACCACCTGCGTCTCTCACTGTCACCGCGTTCAGGCGCTGCAAGTCCTGTACCCACCTCAGCGTCCCATTGGGTTTGACAAAGCAAAACCAGGGAGATGCATACGGTCCGCTTGAGTAGTCAGCCACATGAGTGCGGATCTTCCCGTCGAGGTAATTGACTACCTTTTCCTCGTCCGCTGGGTTCGGATATCGCGCACCTCGCAAGTTCCATGGCTCGTGAGGTACGGTGTGTATCCTAATCATAGGGATTATATCCACGTCCAGACGGCCTCTCTCATCATCACTGAAGGCATATGCAGCATGCCTTCCTCTTATGGTCTCTACCACAAGTTTCTCCTCCTGCGCAGTAAGGAAACCAGGTTCCCCTACAATCAGCGTCTTTTCTGTCTCGGGATTGATACGGCATGGCCCATTCTCCGCTTTCTCTCGCATTTGCCGTATCAACTCTCGTTCCCGCTCGTAGTAAACCTCTCGCTCTTCGGTGACAGGTACGGGAACAGGGCGACACTTCTGGTCTACCCTTTTGTACCACCTTTGTGCACCTTGTTTGAGCCCACCCCTAAAAAAGGCCAAGTCGCGCTTTGGGGCTGTGCTCCACCCGTTCCACCTACCTTTCCAGGCGTTCGATATACTAGTTTCATCTCCCCTGCACCCATTTGCTCCACTACCTTCTCTCTCAAGGCCTCCACTGCCTCAGGGTCCGCCATCCCATAGGTCGATACTATATCCATAGCATCCCCTATGTTTGCCAAGCTTAGCGTCAGCGCCGCTGACTCTCTTACCTCCTCAAGTCTGCTGCTTTCTATCCTCAACCATTCTTCTTCCGATTCTTCAATCGTGAATGAACCGGGGTTGGGCCGGTTCCTTACGCTCTTGGGTCCTGTGTTCTTGCAGGTGATGACCTCATAATTCCCGCACACAGGGTCACAAAGGACAAGGAACATAGTTCCATCGTGTTTGTTGAGGAGACCATCTCTGTCCGACTTAGGAACGATTTTCCAAGCAGGTGGTCCAAGTCAGGCATCACAGAGAAGCAGCTCCTTACTTTCACCTTTCCAATCTCCAATATCACTGACGACGCGGTCCCAATGAATATCGATCGACTATTGGCCCCCATCAAAACCCCGTTGTCAGAGCGGTCTATCTCCATTCCCAGCCGTACGGCATGTTCCTCCTTTATAAGGTTCATTTCCGCTCCACTGTCCACCATTGCTGTGCAAGTCTTCCCTTTTACCAGAACGTCGAGGCGGCCACAGGCGACAGACTTCCAGTCCATCTTAGTACCCGTTTCAGCCCACTCAGCCTCCTTAGGGATTATGGTCCCCAATCGTATGCTCGCTACCATCTTCCTGGATAGTCTTGCTCTTAACTCATCCCTAAGTCTAGGCGCCGAGGCCAGGACATCCTTCAGGTTCATAAGATGATTATGACCTTCGAGTATCCTGTCCATTATCTCTTCCACATCGAAGCCTTCTTCCACCCTGACAGCGTACTTCTTCTTTTTTACTTCTTGTGCCTTGTCTGTATCAGGCTTGGCACCCCTCTTCTTGGCCCTTTGCTCAACCCTCTCATCCTCTTTCTGCCTTAACCTATCCTCTTCGTCATCCCCTCCTTCTGGAACGTCCACCACCTCTTTCTCTCCACAAGGTTCAGGAACATCCTTGGCCGGTTCTCCGGGACTCACCGGCCCTTTAGCCCTCGTCCTGACAGCATGTGGCGCCCTCCCCATCTTGGAGGGTGGCCTATAAGTCATCCCGGACCTTGGCGTCGGGCCCGAAGTCGTGACATTTGGTATGTTGCCAGATCCTCCCTGCGACCCTGGACCAAGATCGTAGAGATATACCAATGACTCCTTACCTTTCCGTTCCCTGACCTCATCACATATATCGACCAACTTTTGTTGGTACCTCCCGACCTTAGCTATTAAGTCTTTCATTCTTTCCATCGTCTGTCGGGCCGTCCTCCAGTAGTCTTCCCCTGTCTCAGCATGCAACGGCCTGTTCCAGTAATCTTCTTCAATCTCATCGTCCGACTCTACTATGATGGGCTCTGCCTGAGTAGTGTCGACTTTCCGCTCTTGCTCCACCTCTTCGTTCTCTCCCACCTCTTCGTTCTCTCCCACCTCTTCAACCCTGATGTCACTACGGACCTCTTTCTCCTGCCATATCCGAAACATGGCTGGAGGAGCGGGTGGTTCACCCGCCTCGGCTCGTAGTAGGGCCTCCTTCCTTGTCCCGCCTGGGGTCCTTGGATCAAGGTGGTACCCCCACTTGTTGTACATATCCCCATCATAGTTGGTGCTGATTAAACCTTCGTCCTCGTCGTTCCTCCTGACGTGGCAGAACTTAATAGTGTGGCCTTTCTGCTCACAATGCCAGCAAATGGCATTTCTCCAGTCTACTCTCCCTCTGCCAGCACCTCCTCCACCCTCTTGACCGCCTTGACTCCCGGATGCCGTCCAGCCCTCGTTTCCCCGACTTGCAGCGTTACCACCACCATTACCCCTGTCGTTTCCTCCTCGGCCACCATTCCCTCGCCCTCGGCCCCATCCTTGATTCTGACCACGTCCACCACCTTGGTTGCCTTGCGATCCTTGTGGGGCTGATTGCTGAGGTTCGTTAGGCGGTGGGTTTGGGTGACTCACCTGCTGAGCTTGGGGTCTCGGGCAGCCGCAGAAAGCTGTGCTCATCGGTGGTCCGACACATGACCCATGCGGCCCACTCATTGGCCATGGGGCGTATGGGCAATATCCATGTCAGTGGCTTGAAGGTCAACAACCTGGCTACGACCCATAGGGTGCTGGTGCAGCTTGATGGGACGACTCAGGAGGGGGCATTGCCGCAGCCTGCGGGACCTGACCCCTCCCCGAGCCTTGGCCCCCTTGAGCCAGGTTCCTTCCTTTCCTTTGAGCCTTAGTCAGCTTCTGAAGCTCGGGCTCTTCTTCCTTTTCCTCTTCTTCTTCCTCCTGCACTACTGCCTTTTTCGCTTTCCCTACGGTCTGTGGCGCTGCCATGGTTTTCCTTTTTGCCTCCTTCTCTGCGTCGAGCTGGGCCACCGCGTCCTCTATCATTTTCTTGAAATCACGTCCATCACTCGTGGTGGCATCCAAAGCCTTCCTTTTCTTCCTAGCCTGCCTCATCTGGAAGATGTCTACCTAATCTAGTTCTCCGTCCATTACGCCTTCCTTTATGGCAGCCCATGTGCGCTTCTTTCCTGGCACAACCTTCTTAGTTAGCGACGAACCCTCCCAGTTCTTGAAGTGCCCTAGGAAAGTGGCACACTGCTCCTCTTTTGCCAACCCTGAGACTTTCTTTGCCATTTTCTCAAACGTCGTGGCGAAGGCCCCCACTGTGGAGAACTCGTCCCGTCTCAACATTTCCAGGGCTTCTTTGATGAGCAGGCCGTCACCCAATTTGAAACGTCTCTGCATCTCCTCTTTAAACTTTGCCCACTCACCATTTGCGCCGGCCGCTACCTTCATTACCTCAGGTCTAAGCTCCCACCATACATACYTAGGCATCAACTTGAATTTGTCTGCWTCTGACGCCTCRCTAGTGACCTGCTCCAGCAACTCAAGCCACTCAGACACTCTATCCCCGTTGAAGTGAAAAATGTTAACCTTGGGCACCTGAAGCCGTGCCATCTCTCTTTTTTCCAATGCCTTGACGAAGTCCTCAGGTGTAGCACCCGGGCCCCGCTCGATTCTGTCGGCATCCGCCATCTTTACTAACACCTGTTGAGGGACGAAAGGTTTTAACAAAAGAATCGGTCGTCAAGTCTCTAACTTGCCAACTTTCACCATTCAACTACTATCTTTATTAACTAAAGTAACCTATAAGGTCTATATTATTACTCTGACCCTATCGCTAAAACGGATACACACAATGCACACTTCCGACCTTACTCACAATCAAGGCAGACAGATCTGACGTGTCATTGAGAAAGCCACCATACTCGAATCATCGTCAAGGAGAGAAATCTTTCCATCAAAGGTTGTCGTTTTGCCTGGATCATCAGCCTGCTCTTAACCTGGGTTCGTTCACTATGGACCCCGGTAGGCAGCCGAGATCCCCGGCAACGGTGCCACCTGTCGAGCGCTTCGGTCCCGCACGGGGAACCTCTCGGCCGCGTCACGCAGGATTATGCAGGACTTGTCGCGGAGAGCGTTTGCCGGTCCGGCCGAGTGCGTCAGCCGTACCTCTCGCGAGTCCCTACGATAGGACAGAGTCACGCAAGGCACCGCTACCTCCACCTGCGGGAGTTGTCACCATCCCTTAGGTGGGCGTATCCCTGCCGAGCTACTGAACCACATGCGAAAGTTTTTCATATGCAGTTGCAGAGGTGGCCCAGCCGAGGGCGTTTCTCGTTCGCTGTAGCATAGGGGGTACGCGCGGTCGAACGCTCGAAATCGAACCAGTGCGCGAGTCGTCGTATTGGGGGGGCTGAAGTCCCAGGCACGATTCGGCGCCGGTCAACTAGGATGCACTACACACCCACGCGTTACACTACAACACCCATGCTTACCCACGCATAACATACAGACACACACACAACAATCTCCACAAATAACACCACAACACAACAACACTCCTAGTCCCTTCAGTTTCCGACCCATAGCTCTACGCAGTGGAAGTCGGTAACTGCCTTGCGCGAGGTTTAGTATAAGATCGCGTGAACGTAGGACCCACGCATACCGATTTATAATGCAATCCTACGCAGATAAAAGCGATGACRRCGCATTATGTGGTGCCCATACCCGAATGGCCTATTCTGGGCCATGGGGTGGCCCCCGACGCTCAGGCGTTGGCTGAAGCGCACGCTAAGGGGGGGGGGTAACCCTTTAGTGGGCGCAAAATCGGCCTGAGGGCCTTTCCGTCTTCTGCACCGTGAGGTGTCCCAAAGGGTGCTGGGTAAGACGGACCCTAGGGCATAAAGGAATTTGGAGCGGTGGTGAGCTGTGTGGCGCATCACCAGCGACACGCTAACCCTTCCGCCCGGAACTGTATCGTTCCACCAAAATAGATTTTCAACAAGGGAAAAAAAAAACAAGCACTCTTAATATAATTAGAAGAGGCACCGCCGGGACTAACCCTGTGGGGGTCATCCAAGCGTATGCCTACTTAGATTATCACCTCAGTAGAACGGGGGTARAACAATCTCACTCAAACACAAGGGTTGTGGGGTAGTTCACTCTCACGACAGTTGTGTGGTCTGCCCATCTGAATCCACGCAATACCACTCAACATGAATCTATCGAGACTCTTCCATACATACCTGCAATCACACCACGATATCAAACAAAGAYCCACATGCTAYACGRGGTCAACTCCAACCAACCTCTCCACTYATGCCCTTCGCTTTAGCCAGGCAAGCCCCAACCTCCAGCCAACCAACCATAATTAAGTACTCAGTACCTCTRTTAAATGGCCATTCAATAAAGGTCTGSGTGAAACCTTAACAAAACARATAAAATCACYAGGGCTAGAGCCTTTTTAGGTTGAGCATCGAGGGTGAATTGGGGTTGAGTCGTAGACCGACGGATCGGCAACCGACCTGTTATCAGCGATAACAGAAGAATAATCATTTTGGCGAAGTAGCCTGATCAGATCAAGCCTTCAAATGATAACACGGAAACCTGCATCACAGTACAGGCCAAAGAAGAGTACTACTCATGCTTGTGCCAAGGGGAGAACATCCCCCTAGTCGCGTCCTAGCTCCTCTACGAGTGCCAAGTCACTGCGTACCTCCTCTAATCAGGATAGATCTGCAAGGTAGCTTGTAGCTGAGAAATATTATAACTCCTCAAATTCTACAAAATTTCAGCAGCGCTTCCCGTAGAAAAAGTGCCTTTTCAGAATTTCTATGAGTCCAAAAATGACTAACTCCTCCAGATTTGTAGAAATTTCGGCAGCGCTTCCTGTAGGAACAGGAGACTGTCAAGACTTATACGAAGCTGAAAGATGAAAAGACAAGCAAACTATACTTGGGACTAACTACTGACGCCTACTTGAAGAATCAGGATCAATGACGACTAACACAACCTCTGGATGAGACTGTGGGCTAGCATTGGGCCTAACGCCTAGCAAGGTCAGTCCTATCCTCACCCCAAGTTTTTCCTCCCAACATCCATCTGACCTACCTATGGCTCCCGCACTTGGCGAGCATCTAAAGACACCCCAAGTGAGATCCTACAATCATACATGAGCATGCATCTCTCACAGTCCCCCATACATTCACCCAGGTAGTTCGTTAGATCACTCAGTTGTTCCCTTTCAATAACCCCCTCACTTATGGCATAGGATCAGACAAGGCCCTAACTTAAGGGTATGTCCAACCTGCCTAAGTAAACAAGTAAAAGTAYGCACAACTRGACTGCCCYAACTTAAGGGTATGCCCAACTCCAGATAAGCTCTAGTCATAAAGCATATGACCAGACCGCMCTAACTTAAGGGTACGCCTGACTTCTKCTTGAACTGACGACATGAAGCGTAAAGCTAGACTGCCCTRACTTAAGGGTATGCCTAGCCARCTTTACACAAAGTTACATAGGGCATAGGATTAGACTGCCCCAACTTARKGGTGTGCCTAACCTSCCTAGAACAAGCACGAACGACGAATGGTCAGACTGCTCTAACTTAAGGGTACGTCCAACCTAYAGAACAAACGCAAACGACGAATGGTCAGACGRCCCTAACTTAAGGGTACGTCCAACCTATATCACGTCAACGACAAGAGCCTATCACCAGGCCGCCCTAACTKAAGGGTACSCCTGGCTGGCCTAAACAGTATAGTTACATAGGGCAGGATATGCCTGAACAAGTACAACGACGTGTGACTAAGCCGCCCTAACTTAAGGGTACGCTTAGCCTCCGTAACGACAATCATATGAGAACAACCATTGATACTTACACAAGATATATGTGTTTCTTTCTTATTAGGCAGATGATCGGACCTATCCAACTTAGGGAGACATCCAATCCTGCCTTGTGTTTAGAAGAGAAAATAAAACAAGTTTATACTAACTCTTTGATCCTTTGTCTTGTCATGAGCATAAGACCGAGCCGCCCTAACTTAAGGGTACGCTCAGCCTGCCAGGGTTACCTTCGTTATATTCTTCATCACTTTTCTCGTCTTCTTGTTCTACCTGACTTACTGACTTGCTTTCCCAACTTAGGGTGCCCGGTCTGCCAGATGATATAGGTTCGTAATATATATCAAAATTGTATACTTGGGTTGATCATTATGTTCATGGCTTATGACTGAGCCGCCCTAACTTAAGGGTACGCTCAGCCTTATGCCTGTGTCCCGCTCAGAAGAAAACACACACAGAGCTGAGTCCACGCAACTTAGAGTGTTCCCAGTCTTGTTTTCAGCAGCCCATAAAGAAACACCAGGATTTTGGGACCTCCCAACTTAGGGTGCCCATCCTCCTGTTCCGAAATCCCAAAAATAACAGCAACTGGTCCGTCCAACTTAGGATAGGCCCAACCCTCAAACCCATACAAGCAGCCCAACAAACATAAAATAAACACAACACTGAACCCACTCAACCTACAGGGGTCCAGCCTTTGGTTGACCCAGTCAATACATGCAATACAACCTTCAGCCCACCTTTCCCAGTTCAACTCTGTCTGAATTTACTCAAAAGATCTCAACTCTTATATACACTTGTTGATTTACCTTTCAGAAGGTATGTCCTGACATACATAGCAAAGCAAAAAGTAATATCCTTACATAGTTAACTTCAGATAGC